TTAATATTTTTTGAAAGTTTAGGGGGCAGCTTGTACACACTCGCTCTGTCAGTGTTCCAGGCCACATGGCATCCAAGTTGCGATTAGGTGGTGCCATGTCAGCACCTAAAAGGAATTCTACTAGTCTAATAGATGATGGTAATAGAAAATGATTTTAGAACAATTTTTTTCTAATACTTTTTAGTGTAATTCAACGTGTCATTTAAATTATTAAGTTTTTTTATTTATATAATGTTTGTAATATTAAATACATTTATTTATTTAACGATACATGAAAATTATATTAAAACGTAATATAAAAATATTATTCTTATATTACCCTTAATGGTCAAATATACCATTTTGATACCAAATTTATAGTTTATAGATCACTTTAGGGGAAAAAATTATTTTTAAACTATATTGATATAAAAGTACTTGGTTTCTAAATTATTTATTAAATTTAGCCATAGGTTATGTGGTTTTAATCATCATCTCCATCTCTAACTTTAACCCTGGCAAAACAGAGCTTTGATTCTGGGGCAGTCCGGGGCGACCAAATCTGCATCACTGCATTCTTCTTCAGTGTCCTATTTCCATCCATCACTGACTTCCATTGCTCATTGAACACAAACACTTTGGAATTTCCCATACTCCACTTGGTGAGGTGGATTTTGGATTTCTTCAGACAGGGTTCTATTAGGTCCACGTTCAAGCCTTCTCGATCCAGCTTCCTTGCTTTATCCTGTGTGAGGAAATCTGTCACCATTACTTGATTCATAGGAATCTGCAGACGATTATGGGTCTTGTTCAGTTCTGTTTTGAATATGATCTTCTGTATCAATAGTTTCTCTTGAGAACCGCCCATCTCTTCAATCAATTTCTTGAGGTCAATTGGCATTTTTGGTGGAGGCTCCAAATTCCATTCAGCAAGTCTAGCCAACCCTTTCTTGTTCTGTATCTTGCCGTCCTTCTGCCTCTTAGGTTTGTTCTTCTCTTCAGTTTTTATGCTTTCTCCGCAGCGTTTCAGGTGCTTTCTGTTGTGTCCGACTTTCTCAGCTGGTTTGAGATCTTTCAGAACAGAGTTTCCAAATTTCTTGGAAAAATCAGTGGTGTAAGTACTTATCAGGGCTTTCCCTCTGTTAGACCTCTGTTTCTTGGGCACAGAAAAATCCAATCGGGATGGTGGAATAATGCACTAGGAATGGATAGACCTAATGGCTTCCTTATTGGCCTTCATGGAGAAATCAAACAGGGCAAGGCTGCCATTAACATCCATCAAGTCGAAAGATTCTTACCGTTTTCTGATCGCTTCCTCGTGGGTTTTCTTAGCGAAATAAAGAAAATTCTCGATCTCTTCATCCCTCACGCCCAGAAACTTGAATACGACTGATTTCTTATGTCTGACTTTCTCATGATCAGAAAACCTTGGTTTGAGACCTTCCGGAATGGAGTTTCCAAATTTCTTGATCTTGGAAAAACCAGTAATGTTAGTGGCTTTCCCTCTGTTAGACTTCTGTTTCTTGGGCACAGAAAAATTAAATCGGGATGATGGAACAGGGCCCCGTCGCTGGGAATGGGTAGATCTAATGGCTTCCTCATTGGCGTTCTTGGCGTAATCAAACTGCGTTAGGCTGCCATTAACATCCATCATGTTGAGACCCATCAAGTCAATGGATTTCTTGATCCGCGGCAGCTCCGCAAAAGGGCCATCGCCATTCTGCAATTGTTGTGTTGTTCTAATGGTTTCTTCCTGAGATTTCACAGCGAAATAAACTAAATTCTCAATGTCTTCATTCCTCACACCCAGAAACTTGAACAAGACCGATTTCTTACCCCCTGTGAATGGAGAAACAGGGCCAACGAGAGATTGTTGCCCTCTTTGTATCGCTTCATCTCCATCGGAAAAATCAAGTGGGTTCGTCATGGGTTCAACAGCATTCTTGAACGTAAGCAAGATACCCGTTTGGTCATCATGATTCTTAGGCCTCTTTCAAGTTTCAATCTTTGAAATCAGGTCAAATAATCATGCAAGAAACAGCAATGTATGACAGAGGAAGAGAAGATCAACATTACGAAGAGAAGAAAAGAGCGTATAACAGAAAACGATGGGTGCAGAAGTCTAGGGTTCTGAGAGAAAACGCCAGAAAGATAAAGAGGAACAGGGAGGACTGACTGAGAACACAGCATTAAGTAAACTGAAGTAAGCTTTAGAGGTCTGGGGCTCAATTTATAGTGATTGGGAATGGAACCTCGTACACACTTACGTCGACGGTAATCTTGAATGTAAGTAAGAGCAGAGTTGGAGTTGAGCTGGTCAATGCACTTTCAACGACAGCTGTTAATCTCAACGGCAATACTCCAAGCAAAACACTATCAACCGTGATCTTTTATGGGCGTCACTTCCACGGCCGAATTGTGTGGAGTGATGGACAACAGTCGTAATCTAAAGAGATATTTTAAGAGTGAACAAAAATAGAGCATTAATCAAAAGCAAAAACTAAAAAAAGGAGTTTATTTTTATTTTTATATTTCGTATTAGCAAATCGTCTAATCTATAGGCATTGTGCAAAGCTTCACTTTCAAGGGTGTCGACAATAGTGGGCGTAACCCATTGTCGATGGTAGACAATGTTAATGTTGTTATTATCATGGATTTTGGTTTCATTTCTGTTGAAAATGGGCCCAACATTCAACTCGGACTTTGTGTAATAAGCCCAATTATTTATCCAAATGCCCTAAACTATCCTAAATGAGTACACATCCATACCTTAGCCCAGATATACTCACGTGGGTGGCAACATATGGGTTAACTAGATAGTAGCACGTGTGGCCTTATCTCATTATATCAAGTTTATAAATACCCTCACCTAACTTCACCCAAAGTATTAACTTTATTACGTTTTTCTTTCTGCAATTACTCCATAGATAGTATTTTTCTTTAAAATATCGAGTATTGCTAACTTGAACGTTGAAGTATTTTTATCCTTGGGTTTTTCAAGTATTGAAACAGCTGAAGATCTTTACAGTTTGTGCAGCTGCCTAAACAATTTGTTTGGTGCTGATCAGTTGATTGGTATACTCAAGTGATAGGTGTTGTGTTTTTAGTTATATGGATGTTTGGCAATGCTGGTATTTCTACTTTGCATGGCTTCATCTGGGTCGGAAAAATCATGTTGGTTCGTCATGGCTTCGACGACATTCTTGAACCGTAAGGAAGATACCTGTTGGGTGATTCTTGGGCTTCTTGGGCCTCTTTCAAGTTCCAATCTTAAAAATGTACGTGTTATATTTGGAGAAAAAGCAGATGAAATAATCATGAAAGAAACAGCAATGTATGTATGACAAGAGGAAGAGAAGGAAAGAATGTACATATGGGAGCCGGTGGGCGCAGAAAGAGAGTTTTGAGAGAAAGAGGAGACGATATTAAGTAAACGAGGACCAACGGTAATCTTGAATGTTAGCAAGGCAGAGCAGACTCGGCGTTGAGATCGTCAATGGACTTTCAACGACAGCTGGTAAATTCCGAATTGTGCTGGATCGGAGTGACAATGTGAAGAAGAGACATCAAGGTGAACAAAAACAGAGCCATAAACCAAAATAGTAGTAAGAGTATTCATATGTAATTATCAGTGATTTTGATTTCATTTTTTTTTTTATCTGTATGTAAAGTCCAATCTATTTTAATGAAAAGATTGAGTTGAACTAAGAAATCAAAAATAAAAAAGTGCCAACAACTTAAGTAGCTTACTAATAATTTTTTCTTAATAAAATCACATAATATACAAGTGAAGTAAATTATGAGACAAGAGAGTGAAAAAGGTTTTTTTTTTTTTTTTTTTAGTTCAGACTATAAAACATTAATAATTAGATGATCAGAGAATTTTGATGCTAGTCCCTTTATTTAATGGCTGCTGTTTTGCAGCTGGGCTCAATAAAAAATGTAGGTTCAAACCGGAAAGTTGTAACTTATCCATTCTTTTTGCCCTGCAGTTTCAGGGGAAATAGGATTGTGAATTGGTTAAGGATGATTGAATGGCTCCTGGTTGACAAGCAAGATCTCTGAGATAGTTTAGTAGTGATGTTTTTATACATTATTCTGCATCGTGCCCTACTCGATTCAATTGCTGATTTCTCTAGTTTAATGGTTGCATAATCCCAGCAAATTGTTAATAACCAAGATGAACTGGAACACAACAATTCATTGACTTAACGGCATTCGATGTACCCCTGAAACAGAATAGCCAGTCCTGTGGTGCATACGTTGCTAGGCTAACAACTTGTGGTAATTCATTTTATCAGAGAAAATAGAGAGATTCAGAGGCAATAATGAAATGATTTTAATGAAAGAATCATTCTGTGTGTACATAACCAATCTGTTTGTTACAGTTCATGCTTGACACCTTGAGAAGTAATAAAACATCAAAAATTCAAAATCGATGATTTCCAAATACTGTTTCCACCATAAAAATTAGTGATAACAACATTGAGGTTTATTCTGAAAATTAGATGAATAATGAAACCAAAAAACTTGAAGGAATATATTAACTCACTGTGAAGAATCTGCAACTCATTATCGCAGGTGACCTAGTTGATAAGAAAGCTGCACAATGTCTTGTCTAGAGACCAAAATTGCACATCTGCACAAACTCCATTTCACTATCCACATACTTAGTCCACAGATTCTTGTATTGATTCATGGCAATATCAAGCCAAGGTTTCATGTTTCCATTGTAATGAATGACCGCAGCTCTGTTGATCTCATCCATACTGATGCTCGGATTGTAGCCCAGCCCAAGCACATGCCAGGATTTATCTAGTGATTTTGTTAATGAATAGAAGGTGATCAAGCCAGGTGGAAGGGTGCCTGGTCTCCACAGAGTCAGGTCTGCATTCTGATCAGAAGATCCACTGAAAAGTTAACTGATACATCCAACTCTAAAATTTCAACCAAACAAATCTAACCACCAGTACAAATAAGGGGTCATCACTTTGGTACTTTGCGAAGTAAGCTATATACAGGTTATGTTGGCTTTCCCAGCATTTTCAACTAAGTCGATAAAATCCTAGCAATAGTACAACTAAGATGTCATTTGGTTATATTTTTGGTGCATTAGGTTCATGCAAATGTGCTCTAATACTCTATACAAATATAAAAATTAAAAAGGAAGGCAAATATAACAAGCTATACTACCAATGTACAACTCACTAGAGAACAGAGAAAGAATAGCATGCTTACCAAGTTCTGCCAGTAATTATACTCCTGTGTGCATTTTTCACGCCTCCAAGCATCGAGATCAAAAATATTCATCCCATAAGCCCAAGCACAAGCCTTGGGGTTAAACCTCTCCCTAATCAAAGGGTGTGAAAAGTTCAAATACCGGGCAAAACGATGAAATGACCCAAAGCAGGTCTCAACAGCCCCATTAACCTTCCCATCCAGATCAATCTTCCATAACCTAGTCAAGTCCTTCTGCACCACAACATCATCATCCAAGAATAAAATCTTATGCAGTTTTGGATACATCTCAGGCAAATAAAATCTAAGGTAATTTAACATTGACAGTTTGCTAGGGCTTGTAAACTTTATATTGTTCACATCTTTGGTTGCATTCTCCACCCTATTCTCGGAGTACAAGCTTTGCATATTGACTGACTCAATCTGCTTCAGCACAGGCACATAGGATGAGTTCAAGAATTTGAAATCTTCCACAGCCTTCACCTCCACATGGGCACCCCCTCCCACAGCCCTCATCTTGAACCAAACCTTCATAGCAGCCACCATCATTCTGTTAGTAACAACATGGAATACATGTTTTGAGGGATCCTCTGCATTCTTTACCACAGAATTCACCACCACAGACACAGCAATCACATTGTCTGAAAATATAGCATAATGATGCAAACTGGGATCCTCAAACTCAGGATCAGGTTTCCCTTCAGTATACTTCTCCGGATGTGAAATTCTCTCCTCCATAAGCCTCATTGCCAAACAATGCAAGCTCTTGGGGACTGACCTGGCAGCAATTGAACCTGCAAGACCACTATTTTTCCTAGCCTTAATCAATAATTCATTAACAGCGAATATGGTATCCTTCAGTTTCTGAATCTTCAACTGATTATCATAATTCTCTTTCGATTCGGCTATCAATATCCTCGTGATCTTCACTCTATCTTTCACTTCCTTCTCAAACTGCCTTATCACATCCTCATCCAACGGCCCCCGCGACTCAAACAAGGAACTATATGAGGGTTTTGTGGGCAGATCTGATAAATTCTTGGCCAAATCATCAAACGTCTTCAATTGCTTCGAAATTTCAAGCTTAAGCTTCCTCGCGTACGCTGCATACGCATTCACCAGAATCATGTAATCAGTCGCTTGCTTGTAAATCAAATCTAACCTAGTTTTCAGCGGGTCCGAATTCAAAGCCAGATAAGTCGTGTGCATATACGCATTTCCAGTACTCGGAAGCGACTGTCCATGAACAAATTCAAGCATCAAACAACAAACAATGATGAGTATTACCTAAATCGAAATGCCAAGCTGAAAACTTGAATATGGAAAGAAATCAGAGTTAGTTACCGAATCGTGGTGACTGGTTGGAGGATGAGATGTGAGGAGGACGGAGAGCGTGGCGAGGAAGAGGAGAGAAAACATGGCGGACACGAATATCCGGTATGAGAAGAAACTACGGAGACCGGCAGCGAAACCTCCTCCCCGAGCTCCTCGGACGGCAACAGCCATTGGATTGAACAAAAACTCAACGAGTACTCAGTAATCCCTCTCTGGCCGCGGAATGACGATACCTGGATCTCAAGTTTCAGAAATCGGTGGAAGAAAATAGCAGGAAAAAGGGGAGATCTGAAGGATGGGAATCCGGCGTCGGTGGTAATTAATTTAGTATATTTTTGTCGGTCGGAGGAATTAGGAGTGAGTGACGGAGAAGGAATGGAATGGGCAGTGTGATGAGGACTGTGGAGTGGGGGAGGCTGCGTTCCCATGTTTACCGTTTAGATTTTGTCAGAGTTGACTAGGAGGAGGGATGGGGCCAAGCTGATGTGGCAAAATTCTGTTGGCCATTTATGCTGTCAAGCCATGACGTTTTGACAAGTAGACTGTTTTTTTTTTTGTGTGTGTAAGGACCTAACTATTAAGTGATGCACACTACTAGTCTAAACTAATTTATTTTTTTCAGCCACATCTTAACTAAATTAAACAATAGAATTTTTTTTTAACACGTAAATTTTAATATATAATCAATCGTTGATTTTAAATCCAATAATTTGAGATATATATTACTAAATATGTTGGTTCTGGAAATCAATAAATGATAATTTATACTAGACTTATACAAATATGATTTAATTTTCACTTTTAAACATCTTATATAAAAATGTGAGGAATGGATAAATTTTGGTTTCAAAATTAATCTCACATTACCTATGATAAATCTTGTTGTGTATTAATATTATAATTTATCTCTATTATAAAAATCCTATATTATAAGAGTTTAGTGTTGATGAGCCAAATCTCAAAATAATTAGGAGAAAAAATACTTCAAAATTATATTGTTACATTAAAATACTACAAGAAAACATCAAAATAAACTTATTCTTAGTTTAAAAATAAGTTATTTTATTTTTTTAATAAAAAATTGTTAAAATAACATAAATTTTGAACATTTTTCCTCATAATATTTTCGAGATCCAACTAACACTTTTCCCATAGAATTGTAGTATGTTTCTACTACAATCGTACATCAATTTTTTTTTTTTTAAGGTTTTTATTTTTTTTTTGACCTTTTCCACCGTTTTTTTTTTTTTTTTTTTTTTAAAAAAAAATTCGTAAGAATTGTTGTAATATACTGGACTATGAGCTCGGTTTGTGCACTTTATCTTTATTGTTTAAAACATAATTAGTAATTATAAATTTTTATAATAATAATAATTAACGATAGATACATATTATAATAATATTCTTTTTCATAATTAATAATTTTAAATGTATTAATTAAAAAAAGGTTTAAATGATAGGTATGAGTTAAAGAACTAGTTTAAAAAGCTCATATTCTAATTAATATTTTCAAAAATTGACTGTTGAATTAAAAGTTTTATTTTCGTAATAATGTATATCAATTTTCATGTTGATCTAATACTTAACCCTTTGATTAAAAAAACTCTATTTACTAACATATATTTAATGATGTTAATTCTTATGATTAACAAAGTAGTTAAACCTATTAAAACAATTTAAATATTAGAATATATGATTTATATATAAATAGAATTTTTAGTCCAACTATTGTTTAAAAATATTAATTAGAAAATATATCATAAAAAAAAAAATTTTAAGAGGATGACTTGCAAAACACTTTCCTCATATCTTTTTACTCTAATTTCTTTCTATCTTCTATTGTTTATATTAAAAGTGTTTTAGATCCAAATATAATTGGCACAACTTAGCATTTTCGTCAATTATTGTCATTAAAATCCTTCTTTTAGTTCATATTTTTTGTTTTTTGTTTTATTTTTAATAGGAGAAATCTAATATTAATAGTTCAATAAAAGTCCTTTCTTACATACATCTAATGATAAGTTGTTTAAAAGGAAATAGCACTCACATTTTCACAAATCCATTTCCACCCAATTCAAGATTCAAACTAAAAATATCTAACTTAGAATCTTAAATTCTTAATCAATTAAACTACTCCCTTGGAGCAAAAGTAAAGCAAAGGTGAACGTAGGGTTAAAAGATAAAGATACAGTCCAATAAAATTCTTAACAAAATTTTAATACAAAATTCACCAACTTTCCTTATAATACTTAATAGGTTGAATTCTTGTATATAATATGATGCTAATTTATTTTTGATTTTATGAATATTTAAATAGATTTAATATGATTTTATTCAATTTTACATTATTTCCATTTTTTATGTAAGATAGGATTTAACTTTTAAAAATCTTAAATTTGGAACTAAATCACTATGTTTCACAAAGTTAAAGGATGAGTCGTATGGTGAGATTGAGGAGCAAATTGTAGAATTATGAAATATAAGGACTAAAGTACAAAAATTTTATAAAATTGATGACCATCACTGTAATTTTACCTTTATAAAAAGAAACAAAGGTCCAGCGATGAAATTAATCAATAGTGAGGGTGTGGGCATCTCTTCTTATTCTTTTGTGTACATATATATATATATAAAGGGAAAATGAAAAATCAAAATTTTTTAACATTTAAAATATCAAGATATTTGCACCTGACCCTTCGGGCCAACTGGCACCTAGTCAGCTTGAGATGCATTCCTCCTTCTCCATGGGTGGGTTTCGAGCTTGCCTCTTGACAACTTGTTCAAAAAAAAAATCAAGATATTTAATAATAATTACATGATAAATTTGATAAAATTAAGATTCACAATATATCTCACATATTTAATAGTTATGATTAAATGTTCTTATAAATTTGATAAAATTAGGGTTCATAATATATTTTTCATATTTAATAGTTGCAATTAAATATTTTGATATTTTAAATGTCAGAATGTCTTAATTTTTTCTTTTTTCTTATATAAATACAAAATAAATTGTAGTGTTGCTACTATAAAATTAGAAAGATATTAAAGGAAGGTCAAGTCAAACCATATAATAAGAAAGTATATAGAAATTAATAAATAATCAAATCTTATTAATGTTGGATAGCAATATTATATATCTTAGATATTTTTTAAAAATTTTATTGGGTATTTATTAAAAAAA